TTATTTTGTGAATTCAAATCGGTGGGATTGGTGGCTTGGAACAAAAACCCACCGAATTGAATTATTTCAATTATTTCAGTTATTTGTATTCTTATTAATTTAATAGGCAACAAATAGGGCGTGAAATAAACCCTAGAGGAGCCTCTCTCATATATATATATACATAGATGTAGATATAGATATAGATATAGATATAGATATTGAAAAAAGATATAGATATAGATATACATATACATATACGAGTAGGTATATGCGCGAACATATACTTGTATATCATCAAGCAAGAACTGTATATTCCTATCTACTGGCTGATGCATCTGCACCGTTTGCGGGCAATCTCCCACAGGTCTGGCCCTGTTACTCCCTAAACCCTAAACCCTAAACCCCTAAACCCCTAAACCCTAAACCCGAAACCCCTAAACCCTAAACCCTAAACCCGAAACCCCTAAACTGTCTTCAACGGGCCTAGATGTTCTTGGGGCATTCTCGGCCACAGAACTTAGAGTCTTAGGGACTTTGGCCTTCTTTTAAGGGGACTTTGGGCTTCTTTAAGGGGGCTTTGGGCTTCTTTAAGGGGACTTTGGGCTTCTTTCAGAGTCCTTCAGAAACTCCAGGGATCTGAATCCCTACAGACCCCTACAGTGTCAAAGCCTTAAGATAAGATCTCCCATTACGCGCATCCCTCGCTAAGCAATCCAGGCTGCTAGCTGCTAGCTGCTAGTGGCTCTATTTCGTTAGTTTAGAAGCCGGGAGAGTGTTAATTAGCTGCAGTTGTAGGCTGGTATAGGAGCCGTCATCACTAGAATGGGTTTGATTATACTAAGGGACCCGAAGGAATAATGTGATCAAAGAGTTTCATCGCCCGTAATAGTCGGATGAACCCAGAAGACCTTGCCATGGTGATGATTTTGATGACACTTATAGCTGCGATGATTTTGTCACAACAGTAAGAAGCCCGAAAAAGCCAACCCCTAAACCCTGAAATCCCAAACACGAAAACCCTGAAGTCCTAACTGCCCTAATGTAGGAACCTGATTAAGAAGCCCTGGGCATTCATTAGGGTTCTTTATACGACTCCTAATATGCTCGGGTTATGGGCCAGGGTTTCTTAACCAGGCTCCTACATTAAATCCTAGATGCCCCTAAGTAACCAGAAACCTGAGGACCCAACCTCCATCTTCACATCGCCACCAAATTTGCCCAACTGCTCCTCGAAGTGCTTCAGGTCTTTGGTAGCGCAACCGGCGTTCACGACCTGCACTTGATTTCGGGCTTAGGTGTTTAGGGTTTAGGGCTTTTGGGCTCTAGGGTGGCATGCCGTCTTTTTGGACTTGAGGATGTCGGGGTCGGAGTCACACTTGATAGGGTTGCAGGTTCAGGCTTTACTTTGAATCCAGAGCTGCTCCTGATGCCGCTGAACTAACCAAGCTTCCTTCCTAGGTGGCCTGACCAAACATGGGTTTGGGGTTTAGGCTTGGGTATAGGGTTGAGGGTTTAGAGTTCAGGCTTGGGTATTGGGATTCAGGGTTTAGGGAGTCGGACAGGCCTGATAGACGTGCTCACCATGCTCCTTCGAGTGGCACTTCGTCACCTTCGTGGCAACCACTCACATGGACTCCTACGTCTCGGGCAATGTAGCAGATGCGATCCTGCACAAGCATTCCGAGCTCGAAGAGCAGAAGGAACTCCCCCATGTCCCTTGCCCATGATTATGCACTGCAGGCTGTGGAATATTCCACGTGTAGAGCATAGACCTTTCAAGACTGTGCGACAGGATTGTATTGGGCGAAACCATTGCAGGGTGAAAACCAAATCATGTGTGGCCTTCCACCTCAACTGTTCGTGCTTTAAGGTGATTACAACTCATGAGGAGCTCCAACAATCTGGAATTCCGTAAGGTTCCAGCCAAGGTGTCATCGATCACGCCGCCCCGCTCGTTGGTGATAACGCTCAGACCCCCCGTCATGGGCGGCAGTCCTTTACATCTTCTCGGGCTCAAGTTTGGTGGTGTACAAAAACCGACATAGGAGCACTTCCAGTCGCAAATCCAACCTTACAACGCTACACCTCTAGGACCTTGAGTCGGTACGCCTATGCCTTGAATCCTAAACTGAACCCAAGATCCCAGAGCAAACGTGTCCGTAAACATCAGCGGTGGTCACGCGCTCAACGAAGTCAAAGGCATCCTTGCCGGTCCACCTGAAACGGGGTTTAGGGTTTAGGGCATTAGAGGTTCCAGGGACTCTCTCACTGAATTGAAAAAATCTCCCCCAAAATAGGGTTCCTTTTCAGCCTTAAGCTTCGAGGTGTCGGGCCTGGAAGATTTTGTGATCTCAAGTCACTGGATGGGGGGTTTAGAGCACGGGGCCGTAGGGCAGGCTTACCCCCCTGAACCTAAGCCCAAAGAAGCGATAAAGGCGAGCAGTAGGTTAGTGGCACAGAGCAATTTGGAGGTCATCTTGCATTGGCTTTTGAGGGTCTTTGTCTTTGGGTTTTGGTTTGGGGTGGTGGTGCTGCCATAGGTTAGTAGTACGTAATTGCTGAGAGTCTCGGGGTTTGGTCTGGGGTTCTGTGGCTAGGGCGGCGCAAGGTCCCCGCTGTTGGGAGCGAAGACCAGGGAACCACTCCCTTAAGTCTGTACTATAGGACCTTCACAGTTAGAACAGGGTTTGGGGATTTGGGGGGTAAAGTATGCGTTGATTCTTCTAAAGAACACCCAAATTAGTGTTGCTAATGAATTCTAGCCTCTATTTCGCTCAACCAGGGCCCTGCGAAGTTGTAAGATGGTCCGCGGTGTAGGGCACACATCATAACAAGAGTCCAGATATTCGGGTTCTAAGGCTAGGGGTCTTGGAAGCCCTGACTGGTTCCATCCGGAGTACACGCTGCGAGTCCCAGATCCGATGCTTCAAACTCCAAGCACACCGAAATTCCAATGCCAAAGACTCTGCCTCTATCCCGTAGCAAATGCCTTCGGGGTGAAATTCATATGGGATTTCGGAGTAGCCTCCTGCTAATACTATGCTGCTGTATTTAATGGCCAAGCCAAGCCACCTGATGCTGCACATGTGGCTGACATCGAAGAGAGAAGCGCTCTCTCCTTTGGGTTAAAAGAGCGGAGTTTCTCCAGAGGCCTTTGGGGTGTTTGCTGTGGAGCTTGGATGGTGTGGAACGCAAGCGCAGCGATGCTGTCACAACTAAGCTACGGCAGCTATGTGACCTTACCCGGCATCATCAGAACACCAAAGCATCGGATTGCCCTGTTATCCACATTAGGTTGTGCGGAAGACTGGACCGGATGGCTACATAGGCACAGGACATCCTGTCTGGGTGCAGGCTCGGGGTTTATGAAGCCCAGTCCCTCGGGAGTAACCTGTTTCCGGCTAAAGTGCGCCTGCAGCCGAGAGTCTTGTCCACTTGGTCGAGTCAATGATGCTCAAGGCATGCTTGCTGCCCTTGGCTTCGTACTGAACCGGCATGGCATAGCCTGCACAGCACGAAGCGCTCTTGCAACTCACAGCGATCGCCAACAGACTGCCTCAAGGGCAGAACCCTGTTCAAACATGCAAAGCTGCTGCACTTGTTCGGGGTGGTTGTCTGGGTTTTTGCCCTCCATGGATCCGAGTCTAGACCTCAGCTAGAAAATCAGAACCTGGCGAGGGTCGCGTAGCTTTGCTCATATCGCACGGGGCCTCTGAGCCCCCGAAAGAAGTAACTTATAGTAACTTATACTCCGTCAACTGACTAACGAAGGCTTCTGATGTAAATTCTGAAGCGCAGCGGGATTCAAACGAATCGAACCAAGGCATCAAGTGAGTCACCTGAACATGTGTCAATGCGGGAAAAGCATGCATAAATCATCTCACAGCCTCCACCCTCAACCCCAGACAACGCCGGCTGTAAAAATGCACAAGCTTGACTCCTCTGCCATCCTCCGACCCCGAAGCCTCCACTTAAATTTAACACCCCTAAGCCTGTATACACCTAAGCCCTCAACACTTCACCTCGGAAGCCCTATCCTGCGCCCTAGTCCGTCCACCCTACCTCCCTAAACTCTCACCTCTCCGGCAGCGGACGCTCCAACCCCCCCTTCTTCGGCCTGCGAAGTCGACCATCTTCCCGCCTTCCTTGATGTGCTCCTCGCGATTCGATCGGATACTTCTGACAACCACTGGTTGAAATGTCACATGAAGATAGACCGCTGGGCAAAACATGTTGTGTGAGCTCCATGAAGTACTGTAAAAAGCCGAAGTCCCAATTCAGCACCCCTCCTCGTATGTCAGCGTCCGTTTCAGCCCCGCCGAGAAGGCACGGGCGAAGCGTGGGCATGCCTTTCAGGGCCTACTTGGGGATGTTTGGTGTGTGGGCTGCAAATCTTCCGGGTTTAGGGAAGTTTAGGGCTCTGGGGTTTGAGGGTTCTAGAGCTTCACGGTTTGTGGGCTTCCCGATCTCGAGCTTAGGGCCTTAGGGCCTTAGGGTCTGCAGTACATAGAGACTGAGTAAACTGAGTAAGGCTTTAGGTCAAGGGCCCCATGGCTTTCTGAACTTTGGATTTCGGGACAGACCAAGGGCTCGCGACTTGTGTTGGTCATGATGCTGGGACGGAAGAAGGGACGTGCTCAGGCCCAGCGAATGCAACCCCTGATATCTGTTGCATTCCCTACCTGAATTGTGTCTTGCAGGGATGCGAAGCGGTGCAGATCAAGAGGAATACGTACAAGCATCGTTGAAGCACTACACCGAGTGATCAAGATACCGTTCATCAAACGCGTGGCATTGGCTTCGATTCTCTTCTCCAGCAGCTCGGGCTCACCGGGAACCCAGCCACGGAAATGCAAACAACTCCGCCATGCAGCCGACCAAATCTTAGCACTTGCCCCCAAGTAGCCGCTCCTTCTTCGGCTCTTACAGTCCAAGCCTGAGACCCCAACTGCCCGTAAACTACCGTAAGTACCGCCAAACCCCACGTCTCCCTCCACCCGAAACCCCGAAACCCCAAGACCCCAAAACCTCATATGGGGGTTTCCGAAAATAGGGGACCCGAATATGGTACCCTAAATAGTAGGATCCTTATTATAACGGACCCCCAAAAGAAGGGTACCAAACCCTAAACCCTAAACCCTAAGTTTCGGAAA